GCATCACAGCTCATAGTAACCTCCAACTCTTGGGCTTAAGTGATTCTCTTGCCTCAGCCTCCCAAGTAGCTGGGACTACAGGCGCCTGCCACAATACCCAGCTGTTTTTGGTTCTAGTTCGCATTGTTGTTTGGCAGGCCTGGGCAGGATTCGAACCCGCCACCTCCGGTGTATGAGGTTGGTGCCCTAGCTACTGAGCTACAGGCGCTGAGCCATGGTTTTTTGTTTTGTTTTGTTTTGTTTTTGAGATAGAGTCTCAAGCTATCAGCCTGGGTAGAGTGCCATGGTATCACAGTTCACAGCAACCTCCAACTCTTGAGCTTAAGTGATTCTCTTGCCTCAGCCTCCCAAGTAGCTGGGATTACAGGTACCTGCCAATAACCAAATGGCTATTTTTTGGTTATAGTGGTCATTGCCGTTCGGTAGGCCCGGGCTGGATTCAAACCTGCCAGCTCTGGTGTATATGTCTGGCACCTTAACTACAGGCGCTGAGCCTTTTATTTTTTAAAGGGGCCTAGATTAGGCTAATGCAGTAGTAACAGCCACTGTTTTGACATGTGCACATCTCTTTACAGTTTTTAATGCTTCCTCACCCAGGTTATCTCATTTGCTCTCTCAAATAAAGAGAAATTAAGCGTATCAAATGGACAGTAGATTGGGGAATGCTTGAATGCCTAAGCAAGAAGCTTGGACCTAGTCACAAAAGCAGTGCTGGCTGCCTTACCAAGACACACCACACATCACAGAGATGTACCGTTTCAGTCCCCCAAAGGACTACCCTCCCGTGTCAGTGGCAGGGCAGTCCCTGCTTCTATGAGCTCCCCCAGAACAGATCCCAGTTCTCTGAGGGTGAATGGACACAGCCAGGAGCTTCCCACTCCTTGGGGTTCATCTGTTAGTGCTTCAGAACTGAGAACTGGTGGGCTCAGCCAACCTCAGTCCCACCCCTTCTCTTGTGTGCTGAAGGTCCATGTGGGCGTCACCGGTGTCCTCCCTTTCTACAGCCCTGCCTTGGTGCCTTTATGTGGCCCTCCCAAGACAGGGGTGTGTATGTAGCTGTTGTCACTCCAAGGAATTTTCTCTGGTTCCTGTAGTTCTCCTTCAGCTGTCTGAGCTCCCCAGGTCATATTTCATAGGGCACATTCAGCTCCATTCCAGGAAACAAATCTGGACTCCATCCTGGTCCTACTTAATACCTTTTTCCCTATCCCTTCCCCTTTGCCAACCTATCTGTCCTGCTGGCTGAGGGGTACTGTGGAACCACACGGAGTGGCTGACAGTTCAGGGCTTTGAAAAGTACAGAGCTGGCTCGGCGCCTGTGGCTCAAGCGGCTAACGCGCCAGCCACATACACCTAAGGTGGCGGGTTCGAATCCCCAGCCCGGGCCTGCCAAACAACAATGATGGCTGCAACCAAAAAATGGGCCAGGCGTTGTGGCGGGTGCCTGTAGTCCCAGCTACTTGGGAGGCTGAGGCAGGAGACTCGCTTGAGCCCAGGAGTTGGAGGTTGCTGTGAGCATGATGCCATAGCACTCTACCCAGGGGGATAGCTTGAGGCTCCGTTTCAAAAAAAAAAAAAAGAAAAGAAAAGAAAAGAAAAGTACAGAGCTGCCCTCTAAAGAGACAGCTGAAGGGGTTCACAGAGGAAGCCAATTGAGGGAGGGCCCCAAGGGCATTATTTAGAGCTGAGACTCCATCACCTTCCTGCTGAAAACTTCCAGTAACTGTCCTTTGCCCAAAGTCCTATGAGGGTCAGTTAATGGCCTTTGTAATAGCAGCCTCCCTAGTAGGAGCAAAGACAGCCCATGTCCTCTTGGTAGCATTAGGGGTGTTGCTGCCGGACCTGAACCGAAGAGAGATGGGTAACTGTATGATGTTGTGAATGCATTTTCCAAAAAAGGGTCAAATTGAGGCCTTGGGCTCGTGACAGCTGGTTCCATAGTTCCATGTGCAAAAAATGGACGGGCAGGATTTCATCAGGTAGAAGGAGATAACGCCTATAGAATGGCCAGGTGGAGACACAGACAACCTGCAGATTATTCTGGCAGAGACCTCTGCTCTGCTGACTTGGGCAGGCCCCACTGCCTAGGTCGGGGATGGAGCTGGCTCCCTAGTGCTAACACATCCTGACTTGCAGTCAGAAAACCTCAGTTCGAATCTAGCTCTAACAACCGAAAAGCAAGCCCCTCATTTCATCTGTAAAGGCTCCTTCAAAAGATGTTCATAGCCTGAATGACGTTTCAAACTTTTATACTTTTTTTTCTTTTTAGAGACAGTATCTACTCTGTCTTCCAGGCTGGAGTGCAGGGACTCCATCATAGCTCAATGTAACCTTGAACTCTGGGGCTCAAGTGATCCTCTGGCCTTAGCTTCCCAAATATCTAGGACTTTAGGCGTGTGCCCCTATGCCTGACTAATTCTTATTTTATTTTTTGTAGAAAGGACTGTTGCCAAGTTGCGCAGGCTTGTACTTTTTATTAAGCACTATTACTATTACTCTCTTAAAGTGCACAGCATCCTGCCTCGTGCTCACGTTCCCTGTCAACACATGTGTCTCCCCAAGTCGTGGACAAAGCCTCGTCTCGTTGATGCTCTTTCTTCCCCTTTTTCAGCACCAAGCACAAAGCTCCAACAGTGTGGTGTCCAGAATTGTGTGTGATTTCTACTGGGTTCTTGTTCACAAGTCTTATCTCTTCAACAGAAATCTGAGTACCTTAAGGGTAGGGACATCTATCCCCAATATAATAATTGTCACAAAACTGGGCAGCCACCTACCGGAGTTTAGGGAGAAGGTTGCGCCTGCTTAGAAAGGTGTTCAGGTTGTGCCCCTCCCTTGCAGGGATTTCCCAGATGACCCGGGAGTGCAGTGGGACACAGAGCGAGTGGCCAGCGTTCTCCTCCAGCACATAGAAGCGAATGGCATCAACCTGGTAAGGGGACACCCCCTGAATGGGAAGCCTGAGGTCCTGGCCCAAGTCACACCAGTCGTTTTGTGCAGCTTTCCCTGCAGCCCCTCCATGTCTAGGCCTTCTCCAGGCCCGATCTGGAAACAGGCCCAGACTCTCGGTGCTCTCCCTAAACCTGCTGAGGAACAGACACATCTTTCAATATCTTTGAAGGCTTTTTGAGACTGAGTAACTGAATTGTCAGTGTTTAGGTACAGCAGAGGTTTTTCCAAAACAGGGTCCAAAACCCAGGTCCCCCGGAGCCTGCACTCATTTGTACAGAACTTCACCTTTTACCAGACATTTTCACATTTGGAGTATCGTTTGGACTTTAGAAGTAAACAGGAGTGGGGTATCATGGCAGTGCCTATGGTCACAGCTACTTGGGAGGCTGATAGGGGAGGATCACTTGAGCTTAGGAGTTCGAGGCTGGAGTGAGCTGTGATCGCACCATGGCGCTCCAGCCTGGGTAACAGAGAGCGACTCTGTTTCTAAAAACAAAAAGAAGTAAATAATGTTATAATTCCCTTTTTTTTGTAGAGGCAGAGTCTTACTTTTTTGCCCTTGGTCGAGTACCATGGTGTCACACAGCTCAAAAAACAGCAACCTCCAACTCCTGGGCTTGAGCGATTCTCTTGCCTCAGCCGCCTGCCACAATGCCTGGCTATATAATTCCCATTTTTACATTGAGGAAATTGAGGTCTCCCAGAGATCAAGCAGTTTGCCCAAGGTAGACAAGTGGTGAAGCTGGGATTTTAAGCCTCAGAAAAACATGAAGATAAATTCATATCCATTACAGGAATAAAATTTTAGTTGCGATTAGAGCAATAACAAAGATTTGCATTTACTTGCCACAGTGGGCAAGCCTAGTGAAACTCACCTCAGCTCCCTCTGGGATCAGCAGGACTAGAGTTAGCCCCTGGTCAATTTTAGAGCTGCCAAAGAGGCTCATTGTCTACCTCTAACCAAAATAGTAACAGTGCTTCATGGCTCAATACCTAAAATCCCACCACTTAAAGTCCCACTCATTTGGTTTAAGTTTTGCTTAGTCCTCATTAAAAGATGTATTCTGCTGGCAGAGAAATATTAGGCTTTCATCAGTGACAAATTCACTGAGTAAGCTGATTTATTAGAAGTTTCTTAAGAGCAGATTTTCACTGACATTAATCAGGCTGTTTTTGTTTTCAAATGGCAGAACTACAACTGAAACTTAGCACATACAGGCAAAAAGTGGCACCTAACTGGCCCTCGCTGAATCACATAGAAGTTGAGATACAGGTTGACCCCAGGGTCCCGATGCCAGGACTCTTCCCCATCTTACTCTACACGCTGACTCCATTCCTTTTCCTTGCTGGAGAAATGGTCACCAGCCACTTTCAGGCCCACACTGCCCTGTTCCCTCCTGAGAGGTCTGAGGACGGCAGTGATGGGGTTAGATCCACAGGCTTATGAGGAGATGCCCAGCCCTGCTGCCTGGGGCTTGCCCTGGTATAAACTGCCCCAATCACACTGTTAGAACTTCTCAGTGCCCCTCAGCCCAGATATGGGGACAGAGCAGTCTTAGGCACCAGTCTGGACTACTCCTTGTTACCCCATTTTCCCATGGTAGTGGTTTTCCAGTCCCCAAATGCTTTCTCTTCTCCCCTGCTTCAGTGCGTGAGAACTGCTGGTCTCCCCAGTTATTCCTGCTTGTAGTATGCTCTCATCTTTTTAAACTTAGAATTTGAGGCCCTCTTTGATCTGACCCTTACTTAAGTACTAGAAGTTGTTGAGTTGGTTTTCATGTGGGGCCAGGTCCCTTTTTCAAACCACTTTACAGCTGCCTCAGCCATGAGCATCTGTGGGAGGAACTTCAGAATATAGACAACGCTGTGTACCGTTCCCGCCCCTAGAAGCATCTCCCACGTCTGGGTCCCAGAAAAGTGATTTGTGGTTCAGGCCCGTCTCAAGACCCTCTTCTCCAAGAAGCCTTCCCTGACTTGTTCTGCTCTCTGGGGTTACCGCAGTATGTGTGGAGAGTTCCATGCACATGACATGTGTGGCCGTTCCTTCCAGTGCAGACCATGTCTTGTGAACTAGACTGTAAGGTCCGAGGGGCCAGGACTGTGCCTGGCATCTTTAGTCTCAGGAACTAGAGCAGGCCCCAGACAGTGGCACTACCTGGCCTCCCCATCACTGGTCTTCCCTCCGGGGCTGAGTGGCTCACGTTCACTGAGTGAATTAGAGGACCTTTATTGTCAGAAGAATCTCGAGTTGACATGACTGCTATAAAGAAGGAAAGCACTTAAAACAGCTCTTACTGAGGAGATTCCACACTTGCTATTAATAAGGAAACTCACATCACACAGTGCAGTTGGGAAGGATTTCCCTGGCCTGCTCCTAGTGCCATAGTATATAGCAGTAGTTCTCAACCTTCCTAATGCCACGACCCTTTGATACAGTTCCTCATGTTGTGGTGACCCCCAACCTTAAAATTATTTTTTTTCTTTTTTTTTTGTTTTTGAGACAGAGTTCCACTTTGTTGCCCTTGGTAGAGTGCTGTGGCATCACGGCTCACAGTAACCTCCAGCTCTTGGGCTTAGGCAATTCTCTTGCCTCAGCCTCCCAAGTAGCTGGGACCACAGGTGCCCGCCACAATGCCCAGCTATTTTTTTTGTTGTTTTAGTTTGGGCAGGGCCAGCTTTGAATCTGCCACCCTTGGAATATGGGGTTGGCACCCTATTCGCTAAGCCACAGGCACCGCCCCATAAAATTATTTTTGTTGCTACTTCATAACTGTAATTTTGCTACTGTTATGAATCATAATGTAAATATCTGATATGTAGGATGTATTTAAGTGACCCCTGTGAAAGGGTCATTCGACCCCCAAAGGGTTTGTGACCCACAGGTTGAGAACTGCTAGTATATAGGATCGTGCTAACACTGTGGCCAGTGTGGCCATAAGGGGCCATCACTGAGGTAACTGTGGGTTTGTGTTTAGCCTGGAGGCCCAGCCACACCACGGGAGATGGTGAAGCACCACCATGGAGGTGCAGAAGGAAGAGAGGCACACACAGCTGAGCCTGGGAGACCTTCTCTCCTGGGCAGTGCCAGGGAAGACCAGGGGCAAGGCCAGATCTGCAGCCATCAGCACCATGTAATGCAGGAGACTGGGCTCTGCTGGTCCCCACTCTGCTGCAGGCTCACTGTAAGGGCATCAGGAGCAGCAGACGGGACAGGGCTTAGAAAAGGTCAAGGCTGTCCTCCCCAAAGGGGCTTGGTTGTGTGTTCTCTAAATATTTGCTGAGCACCTGCTATGGATCATCCGCTCTTGCTGCCAACTGGGGACCCAGTAGCCAGCCACATGCAGCTAGTCCCTCTCCCTCAGAGCAGGATGCCTGGTTGGCCAAGCTGCAGTCACGTGGGCCTGGGTAGTGCTGGGGTGGCCTGTGCACAGCGTCATGTGTAGCTGCTTCCCTGGCTTCCCACTAGTTGTCAGTAGCAGCCCCTCCTCCACTGTGACAACGGAACTGTCCCCAGACATCACCACAGGCTCCTGAGCCAAAACTGCCTCTCGGTGAGAACCAATATTCTAGCAACCACAGCAGCCCTGCCCTTGCTCTTTGGCTTGTTGGGATCTAGGTAGGATTTCATTTGGGTAGAGACATCTGCAGGTTCATTTGGACAGAGACATCTGCAGGTTCATTTGGACAGAGACATCTGCAGGTTAGGAACAAAGAGAAGTGGACGCAGTTCTGTAAAGAGCTTCAGCTGCCACCATTGTCATGCACAAACCTGCCAAGGTCCAAGGAGCTGGACACAGTTCAGCTCCACCTACTCACAGCAGAGAGGAAGGGGGAGGTCATAAGAAGGC